TCTGGCATGCCCAAGGGACGCAACTCTGCACAGCGAATCACGGCGTCTTGGACGACTGGGCCACCCGTGCCCCCGCAGTCGATGAGACACAAGTAGTGGGTAGTAAGGAGCCTTAATTTCATCCAATATTCTGTGAAGTCATCGACCACAAGCTCTGACATACATGTACCGTATTCGACGTAATAAGCGCCCCGCTCTAATAAGCGCACACGGCGATATTTGCTAATATATTGGCGAGTGAACAATCCCAATTAGCACCCCTTCCGATTGATCAATGTACACAAGACGTATTTATGCACTCTTAATTATTGGCAATTCAATTCTGGAGAAAAAATTCTGGCTGTCAGCATTAACCACGAAATTTATCTTTCAACTCTGATTTTTTCACCAAAATAATATTTTAATAAGAGCCCCCTATTTCTAATTTTGAGAGAGCCCTGGGCGCATATTACGTCGAATGCGGTATGTAGATGTTCAAGAAGCCTGTGGTCTTGTGACTCATGGCGGTTCCACCTCTTTCACCAAAGTGTCTAACTTCGACCTGACTCACTACGGGCTTTCCTCCGACATCAAGCCGACACGTTGTGATATATATTGGTTGGTTGGTTGTTTAACGCCGCACTCAACAATATTCCAGCTTTATGACGGCGGTCTGTAAATAATCGAGTCTGGACAAGACAATCCAGTGATTAATATCATGAGCATCGATCCAGGCAATTGTAATCGATGACATGCATCAACCGTCCAAGTCAGTGAGCCTGACCACCCGATCCCGTTAGTCGCTTCTTACGACAAGCATAGTCGCCTTTTACGACAAGCATGGGTTGCTGAAGACCTATTCTACCCCGGATCTTCACAGGTCCGTTGTGATATCGCCCGGGAATTGTTCAAAGGGGCGTTAAACCTATTGTACAACGGATAAAAAACATTTCCTAGGCTGCAGTTATTTGAGTGCAAACCACATTATTAAATAACTCCCTGCCCCCAATATTTTTTAATATCAAAAGGGAAGTTCTGTTTGTCTGTTTCATGCCGTACTTGATGAGCTTTGAGCTGCGTCAAATGTCAACCAGACAACACCGTACAGAATGAGTGCAAATGGCGTGTTCTGTTAATCCTTCATATTTTTTTCAAGAATAATTACTGCTCGAGTCCCGTTTTATGACTGAATGGTCGCAGTTCCGATAGGGCCAAGAGCATGTTTGCTTGTGAGACTATGTCAGGAACACAACTGATTATTGATCGCCGACATCCACGTGGACGCGGAGACTAAAGCGCCTACATTGTGTTGCACAACATCAATCACGTTCACATAAAGGCGATGGGACACCATGCAAACAGCACCACGGTCGCACAATTGTACACAAACACGGCCAAAACACCAACAATCTACCGCAGCTTTTAATGAAAAAGGAAAATCACGGAAAGTTGTAACGATGGAGGGGTTTTCATTTGTATTCAATATCGGGACTGTATTGGTTATTGTTCGTCCAGGGGAGAGTTGTTTGTAAGGAGAATTGATCCACGTCCATTGATCGTTATTTATTATCGTATTCACAAACACGAGCCGTATTCCGCACTTAATCACATACTGCTTTCTGATTGGATGAAGGAAAGGGTAGACATGTATCACTGTGCGGTTTGCAGATCTAAGTCTTATCCGCCTTTCAGGCTACGTGTGAGAGCTTGAGCTTTACCAAAGGGAGTCATGTGCGCACTGACAGTTTAGACTTGTTACAAAAAGCCACTGGCCTGAAGAACAAGAGTATTTCTGCATTTTGCGCTTCCTTGAGACATATGTACACCCTATTAATTAACCACTGAACAAATCGCAATGGATTTTTTCTGGCGTAAAAACTTTATTATGTCCGATTCAATTCCCTATTTTGAAATATTCCCGAAAATATAGAAAAGATACTGGTATTTGAAAAATGCATTCTTAAAACCTCTGAAATCAGTTTTTTTTATACATTTTAGTCATTAAACCATTTTTAAATTCGACATTCGTACATTAAGAACATTTCAAAATATCATTCATCCAAAATATTCCAAAAAGTTGATAAATATTTGCTCATTCCTTAAATAATGTAAATTTAATTTCCCAAAACACTCCTCATCAAATCTTCTTCTTTAGAATAAAATGTGTTTCTCCAAGTCCATAATTTGCAAAACAATGTATTCCTGTTTTTTACCGACAGCGCGTAAAATGTCATCATGTTTGTTTTCAAACTTTTTTTCGAGGTCGTTTGGTTCGCGTCAATGTCATCGAGGTCAGGTGGTTTGTGTAATCGGAAAATATTATTTTAAAAATTTTTTTTACAGCTTTATATGCTACTTTAGATATATGTTAATTCTATAAGATGCACTACAGCGTAACGCAACATCCTTGTTGGTGTTGTGTAGGTTGGAGTGTGTTGTGCATAGTTACGTGTTATATTCCCCTGTGAAACAAGGGTCGAATCTGCCGACAATGCACTCAATGTTCTAGACCTGGTGTTTATTGCTTCTTCTAGTTGAGTCAATAATTCCAAAGTCTGTCTTTGGTGCCTTCTGTTTAAATTGATTAAAACGCAATTGTTTTCAAAAGAAATTCACGTTTTTAAATCAATACTTATCATTGTCATAGATTTATGAACGCATTAATAACGCGGGTACGATGGCTCGATTTGAGATACACGTCCATGGGGAAATTAGTTTTATAGTGATATTCTACCTACTCGATCGCTGTGCCTTGTTCTTTGGATGTTCTGTTCGTTTCAAGGTGTCCGATCTCCGAAAAGGTGGTTGTGTTTGGTTCTGGTGTTCCTATTGAGTTTGATTTTTAGCTATTTATCTTTTTAAGGAGCAGGGGAGAGGGGTAGTCTAGGGGTTAAAGCGTTTGCTCGTCACACAAAGGGCTGGGGTTCGATTAATCGCATTTTTTTTTTGTTGTTGTTTAACGCCGCACCCAGCAATATTCCAGCTATATGACGGCGGTCTCTAAAATAATCGAGTCTGGACGAGACAATCCAGTGATTGACATCATGAGCATCGATCCACGCAATTGGGATCGATGACATGCATAAACCAAGTCAGCAAGCCTGACCACCCGATCCCGTTAGTCGCCTTTTACGACAAGCATAGTCGTCTTTTACGGCAAGCATGTGTTGCTGAAGACCTATTCTACCCCAGATCTTCACGGGTCTCATCGCATGGGTGCAATATGTCCATGTGTGGTGTCCCCAGACGTGATAATGTTGGAATATTGCAAACAGTGGCGTAAAAGTGAGTGAGATGGGATTAACGCCGCTTTAAACGAATTGTTCGAATACGCGATCGCGAAAGATTTGCAGAAAATGTTACTTACAGAAAAGTCGCGGAATGGCCCCTTTTTATCGATATATACCCTAATTATAATTATTTTCAACCTTTTTGTACAATGTTTCCATCGAGTGATGGCCAAACATTTAACATGCGATTTAAACATACAATATATGAATCCTACAATAAAACATCATTTGAAATAAATAATTCTCACTTTTAAACGTTCTGGTATTATGACCACACAAACTGAACGTTGGTTAAATCTAATCAACAATCATCAGTGACACTATGCATATGAGTTTGTATTAAATTTTAAATTTTGAGGGGGAAATTGTTGTTTGTTCCCCAGAATTATGTAGTTTTAGCTGCAGAATTTTGATAATTTTACTGCAGAATTCTTCTTGGATTGCAGTTATATCACGGCCTAGAGCGGCGTAAAACAATACTTAAGTATCAATATTACACAATAACGCCACCGATATAACCACATTTCAAACATACGTTAATGTTGTTCAATCCCGTGTAGGCAGTATTCTAGCCATATCACTGCGAGGGACACGACTTCCCACGCTGTTACATGTTTTGTTTGTTTGTTTGCTTAACGCCGCACTCGGCAATATTCCAGCTATATGACGGCGATCTGTAAATAATCGAACCTGGACCAGACTATCCAGTGATTGACATCATGGGCATCGATCCACACAATTGGGATATGATGACATGCATCAAACCAAGTCAGCCAGACCACCCGATCCCGTTAGTTGCCTCTTACGACAAGCATAGTCGCCTGTTACGGCAAGCATGGGTTACTGGAGACCTATTCTACCCCGGATTATAACGGGTGTTACATGTGGAGATGACCAAATTGGATCACGTGGGTCTTCGGGTAGATTTACAAGACAGCTGCTGACAGCTCAAAAAGGAAAACATGCTGATCATTAAAAAAAACATTGATAACTGAAAATATTCACTGTGATATTGGCTGAACGTCTTTAAAGACTCATAACTCTACTGACTACACAACAAATCTCCCAACACCGACTAGTGTACCGCGATGCCGTTTTAATGTGAATTGAGCGAAACATCACACTCCAAAAAAAATTTCCCTTCTAAAAATGTTGTCAATCTCTATTTGGAAATGACAACAATCAGACAGTTCACTACAACTATTGTAAAGAAAAACAAATAACTGGCCAGAATTTGAATTTGAAATTTGAAAAATTGAATTTCGAAAAATAAGTCTTTTGTTTATTTGTTGTTTAACGCCGCACTCAGCAATACTCCAGCTTAATGACGGCGGTCTGTCAATAATCGAGTCTGGACCAGACAATCCAGTGATTGACATGATGAGCATCGACCCATGCAATTGGGATGCGATGACATGCATCAACCGAGTCAGCGAGCAAATAAGTAGACCTTTAAAAAGACCAAGGGTTCAGCATTATGGGGGGAAGAGAACTTTAAATTTTAGAAAAAAAAGAATTCTGCTTTTAAACACTCACAATGTGATAAATAAGAAAATGATCAGTTTTTTGCCTTGAGTTTTCTTCTTTGCCTTGTATATTAAGAGGAGACAACTTAGTTATCAATTACTCAAAATAATTTGTAAGATTAACTATAGTAAACTGAAAGATTCGTGTGTTGTTTAACTTTCTTTGAGTAGTATATGACAGAATAAAGATGAAATATGGACTCACGAAAGAGGATGTTGAAGACCACGCCCTCCATGTGGAATGTCCAGTTCTTCTCCATCTTGTTGTGGTTCTTCTCCTTCTCCTTCTCCTTCTCGAGACGGCTCTTCCTGGAGAAGACAAACCATCACATTAGATTCAAACTCAGGCTCAATCACAAGCCTAGCTGTAAATACATTACTGTGAATTATCTTCACCAATTTACACCTCTGTGGTGTGGTAATTAGGTGGCTCAAAGGTTCGAGTGTTCTCTGATGGATCGGGTTTGATTCCATTCATGGAATACTTTATCATAGGCTTACGCATAATGTGGGGCGGTCGGGTAGCCTTGTGGTTAAAGCGTACGCTAGTCACGCCGAAGACCTGGGTTCGATTCCTGACATGGGTACAATGTGTGAAGCCCATTTCTGGTGTTGCCCCGCCGTGATATTGCGGGAATATTGCTAAAAGCAGCGTAAAACCAAACTCACTCACTCACTCCATTCATGGGCACAATGTGTGAAGCCCATTTCCTGTGTTTCCCCGCCGTGATATTGCGGGAGTATTGGTAAAAGCGGCGCAAAATCATACTCAATCACTCACCCCCACTGTGATATGGCTTTGATACGACGACACACCGTGTAACACCCTACTCACTCACTCACTCATTTAATCACGATAATGGTATTTATACCACTCAACGTTTGATAGGGATAATTAAATGTCATTCTGATTAAATATACATTTGACATATCATGAGAATCATATTTGTGTATCATGTAAATATTAAAATATCCCTCTCAAAAGTGGAGCAGTATATTACGATTAAGTGATTAAGAAAAACAAGGTAATACGGATATGAAGATTTAAATATATCCGCAATCCTGTTTCGGGTAATGCTTGGAAATGAAAACTGATTGTCTTTCTTTTGTTTGTTTGTTAGTCTGTTTGTTAATTTGTTAGTCTGTTTGTTTGTTTGTTAGTCTGTTTGTTTGTTTGTTTGTTTTTTTGTTAGTCTGTTAGTCTCTTTGTTTGTTTGTCTGTCTGTTTGTTTGCTAGTCTGTTTGTTTGTTTGTTAGTCTGTCTGTTTGTTTGTTAGTCTGTTTGTTTGTTTGTTAGTCTCTTTGTTTGTTTGTCTGTCTGTTTGCTTGCTTATTTGTTTGTCTGTTTGTTTGTTTGTTAGTCTGTCTGTTTGTTTGTTAGTCTGTTTGTTTGTTTGTCTGTCTGTCTGTTTGTTTGCTTGTTTGTTTGTTTGTTAGTTAGTCTGTCTGTCTGTTTGTTTGTTAGTTTGTTTGTTTGTTGTTTGTTTGTTTGTTTAACCGTGGCCTGTAAATGATGAATCTGGACCAGACCAACCAACCAGTGATTGATATTATGAGTAACGTCCCGCGCCGTTGGGGTACGATGACACGCAATCAACCAAGTAAACGTGTGTGACCTCCCGATCTATTAACTCGCCCTTTACGACCAAAGGGGACAGTTGAGACCCTGAATACCATCACGTGACGTCCTGTGATTGATGCATCTCCTTTATTCTCTGCGCGGGTTTTGTCCCTAAGACATCTCGAACTCTAAACAATTTGTTTGCTAAGCGCGGAGACGGTAATGCCTTAATCATCAAATGACGTAATTTTAAAGATCAATCCTTCTTGGTTGATATTTATGTCGCTTTGACTGAAAGAAACATCAATTATTACAAAAATAAATTTGTGCAATGACTTTTTCACAGAGATAGACCTAATCGTTAAATCAGTACTAAGCGGTCGATGGGGATCAATGGCTTCCGGCTACATACCCCGAGATAACACTAATCAACCAACTGTCGTTGGACATAGCAACATGGCTAGATATTTGCTACAGAAACATGTCTGCTTCGCCAAGCAGCCACAACATGGATTTTTCAAGTATCAGAACTGTTATGACGAATGACGTCAACTAGATCCCCACTGCTTAATGTCGGCCATATTGAAACCGGAAATGACGTTTATGGAAGGGAGAAATTACTAAATCTCTGCGCTTTAGATAAGGATATTTCAACACCGAATTGTTCGATAAACATTATGAGGTTGAACAACACCAATATACCAACAGAGCAACAACTCGCAGGGTAGTGTAAACCTTTTCAAGTGCCTCCACTTCTGCGCCTATTGTTTTGTGGATTGAATGTACATGTGTATCGAAAATCAATAAAGTTTCCAAAATAGTCCCTCGATCCAATACGTGGCTCAATACACTATCGGGATGGGAGCCCTCGCGGGGAGAAGATCATCCAATATCAGAGAACAGACACACAGCTTGAAGGCCTCAAACTTAATCTCATGATCGTTCAAACTCATTGCCATACAGTTTAGCACATTAAAACATTCACGGTTTTGTAAATACATAACATTTAAACAAATAATTAAAATCCAAGACAAAGGTTCTCGACTATTATTCCCGGCAAGGAAAATCAATTTGATCCAAGATTCATTGCATGTGGTAGAGGGTATATCGATGAGAACCGGGTTTACAGTGTGCTTGCGTAAGAAATGAGTGTGTTCCTATGAAATACGCTTACCATATCTTAACTATCGTTAGCAATACGATACAAGGTCGTTGTCTTTGTTAAAAACTGTTTTTTACTTTCTTGGGTTGTTTGATAAAGAACTTATGCTTGCAGGGTATTTCGGTGTATGCTCTTTCTGTTTGTTCGTTTGTTTGTTTGTTTGTTGTTAAACGCCGCAGTCAGCAATATTCCACGGCGGTCTGTAAAAATTCGAATCGATATCATGAGCATCGATTCACACAATTGGGATACGATGACATGCATCAACCAAGTTAGCGAGCCTGACCGCCCGATCCCGTTAGTCGCCTCTTACGGCAAGACAAACCCGTGAAAACAGGAGCCATTAAAAGCGACAACACTATATCCATAATGATAATAAGAAGGAGAAGAAAAAAAGAAGAAGAAGAGAAGAGCGAGTGAGTGAGTATGGTTTTACGCCGCTTTTAGCAATATTCCAGCAATATCAAGGCAGGAGGACACCAGAAATGGGCTTCACACATTGTACCCATGTGGAAAATCGAACCCGGGACTTCGGCGTGACGAGCGAACGCTTTACCCACTAGGCAACCCCACCGCCCTAGAAGAAGAAGAAGACGCGAGAGACATATCTGCTAAAAGCTGAGTTCATTGTACGAGTACAACCATATCATAAGCATGTGTTTATGAATCACTACCAAATAGTGGTGATACCAGAAGTTCGCACAAAAAGGAGCGGCTCCGGCCCTACAGGTGGCGCCCGTCACAAACACATGCAAAAGCAAGTCAATTGTTCACCATGAAAGGAATGCCTCGGAATAGACACACAATCAGTTAGGAAATAGGATTCCCCTTTTACACGATGACCTGTTTGTGACGGACCCACTCAAGGCAGTCCTACACTGCTGTATAATACTGGCATATTGACTCGTGTCACAGATTTCTCAATCGGTCATCGCCGTTTTTCTATTTAAGGACCCATTCATCATGGATCTCACTCGTCATTAGGCCAATATATATGATATACACATCATATACATATCTCCTTATCTAGACCACATCCGTGATGGTTGACCGTCCTTATCAGGTCAATATATATGGTAAATTACATGACGGCCCTTATCAGGTCAATATGTTGCGATATAGACATGCATGGCCGTACTTATCAGGTCATTATATATGAAATGCACATGGATAACCGTCTTTATCAGGTCAATAAATATGATATGGACATGGATGGCCGTCCTTATCAGGTTAATATATATGATATGCACAATGATGACCGTCCCTTATCAGGTCAGTATATATGATACTTTCGTTCGTTGACAGACCAAACTGAAACCGGTTGCAAAATCTGTTTGCGCATGAATTTGTTTACATTTCTGGGCATACGCATTAACAACATGCGCCTGCAGTTGTGTTTGCAAAGATCCTTTTGGAAGAATTTCTTCAACGTATGGTAATTCAAGCACCATGTTGTTAGTACGCAGGACACCTATAAGAAAATTTGAAAAGAGACATTAACGCCGCGATCTTAATATCGGACCAACAGTCGGTCCCGTCTGTGCATTCAAAATGGTTCGGTTTTCTTGGTCTATGAGCTGAATTTATATCACGCCCGTACCATTTTGGAAGATGGAATCAGAATGCTCGACAAAGACATTCATGTTAACTGTACCACCCTATACTGAAGACGTGATAATCAACAAACTCAAGTCTGCTTGCACGTCAGTGACAGCTTCGAACGAAGGGCAAGGTCACCACCGGAATAAGAAAAGACAACCGTGATCTTCTCACAGCGTTGTACGCTAGAGATAGGGAATGTTATTGTTCACATTTGGGATGTTTTGGGCCACATAATCAGAAATCAGGCACACTTCTACGGACTTTTCGAATTATTTGTATCGGAATTGTTCTCTTTGAGTGATCTGGTCATACAGTCATGAACAAACAACTCCCGAAACAGTGCCACAAAATACGCTTCGAAGGGGACACTGATGGAAGAACCGGATTGTCCCAAGTAAGTTAAAACCAGATAGTTTAAAGTGACTTCATTTCACCACGCTTATCCTTTTACGTTAAGTCAAATTAATAGTTCCGAAAGTGGTCGGGTGCGTCACGCTCATAGGGACCCTCGATCTATTGTTCGGAAGTCGTACATTGTTAATGGATACAGCTCGATTATATATTGTCTGTAAAAGCTTCATGCATAACTTATATAGGATGCAAACCGAATTTGATGCGTGTGACTATCTTGTTTGATTTAATAAAGTGTTTGTAAATATCTCTCGCTCTCATGAGATTGCTTCGGTTCTGCCTTGTAGTTGCAAAATGAATGACGTCTCGTGATTTTTTTATGAATGAAAAAAGTAGTCCCGGTGTGACAGAGGACACGGTTATCCAATCAAAATGAATAAAACAAGGACAACTTTGTACGACACACGTGTGACGTACGGATTTAGTATCTTACCACCTGTATCTTCACCACGTGGGTTATAAAAACATGGATGACCGACCTTATCAGGTCAATATATATGATATGCACATGGATGACCGACCTTATCAGGTCAATGTATATGATATGCACATGGATGACCGTCCTTATCAGGT